TTTACTTCGGATACGTTCAACTGCCAACCTAGCAGTGGCATTTATTCCTCGGGCAGTTAAGACTTGTTGCCTCTCAGCTTTGTGTAAGGCAACTGAATAATTCTTAACTCCATTTTTGGCCTCGTAAACTTAGAAGGCTCTCTTAGGACAGCAGTGCTTTGCTTTGCTTCTCAGTTGGCTGCTAGGGAGTTTTCCCCTTCTCTCCCTCTCCTTTGCTTTTTTCCCTTGAGGTTACTTTAAGTCAGTGCATGGACTGCACTAATAAAACTTTCTGCATGTACACCTGTCTCAAGAGCTTCAACAATGCTGTCCCCACATAGTTTGCAGTGTCCCCTCTCCTTCCTTTAGCAAAAGCTCCAGGTGGGAATGACAGGAAGTAGAGTTTCAGAAGAAACAGACAAGTCCCCATGACAGGCAGGTGAAGGAGGACACCACATCCTACATTTTTAGCTTGAGAACTCAGAAGACCATTAAACTCCAGCAAGGAACAGTTCCTTTTTGAAAAGGAAAAAAAAGGCACTGATACATAGCAAAATCCAAAAGGCTGCCTTTTCACTACAGGAAGATCTATCATACTGACTCTAACCTGGAAAAAAACTATGCTAATTCCCTGACAGATGGTGCTTCTGTTCTTCCTAGTTTGCATTCACACTGCTGAATGACAATGTTATCATAACAAAGGTAACCCTTATCTATTGAGTTCTCTAAGTAGACCCTCCTTCCTTTGAGCTCTCATGGCTTTTAGTCTGTTAATCTTGTCAATCATTGACTTTAAATGTTGGAAAGATTTCATAAATGCATACAAAGCTCCCTCATCATGGCAAAGAATCCAAATGTAAGTAAGTCTAAGTCTTTAGGCAGCAGGGACCTCAGCCCTAAAAGAAAGTGTTTGTTTTCCTACCCTTCTTTCCTACAAAAAGAAAAAACACACAGGCCACATTCCCCTCATCACTGCTGTAACTAATGTAACACAATCAGGTTTCTAGAGTAACTACCAGAGGACAAACACCTTTGAACTGAAATACTGTCCAGATAACATTTAGAGAAGTGCAACTCAGGAGTTGCAGTTTTAGAAGTTCTGCATTTTTCTAATATTCAAGTCACTTCTTCACTCATGCTGGCAAGGAAAGAAACAGTAAATATAAAATAATTGGAAAGGAAAGCACTGCTGTAAGAGGCAGAAGGTTAAAAAAACAAGTTTTGATGAAGATTCATTTAAAAATGCAATTTCAGGAAGTATGACAAGTTCTAATTTGTAAGTAGGCCTTGATGCTGTGTACTAGTGATCCTAAGCTCTAGTTCAAACCAGTTAAAACATCAGCCTCTCAGGAGGTTTTCATCATTGTTTCATCGCAAGGCTCTCTGCCATCAACATGTGCCTGATATAATCTCAAGGCTTGTGACTCTAGAGCAAAAATACATTGCTACCTGCCTTTTCATTTTGGAACCTGTTAAGTCAAAACAATCCTCCAGCAAAAGAGGGAAAATTCTGCCTCTCCCTCTGCCCACCCCCCCCCCAAAAAAAAGGAAAATAGCGCATCCCAGATTATATTTAAACATCACAACAGCATGTCATGTATTTCATCTAGATTTTGGCAATTTCTAAACACACGCTGTAGGTGTGGGTGTGTGGTATATCACACATTAGAAGGTAACAGCAGTTCTTTTTGAACTAGACATAAGAGATACAGAATATACAAAGCTCTACACAGAGAAAAGGTAAACAAAAGACTCTTCAAGAAAAATCTACCCCAGCCTGCAGTACAGAACATCTTCCCAGACTCAAAATAAAATTTCACATTTTATTTGAAAATAAATGCTGTTTATTTTTAAATGCCCCGCGCCCCCCAAGATTATCAAAAATCTCCCTCAAGAGAGGGCTACTGGAAAAGTACAAGAGAAAAAAAATCAGAAGATTCCTGTTAAGCAGCTCTCCATTATAGGGACTGAGGTTCAGTTTCAAATTTTGCCACTTTTAAGCATTTGGACTGCTGTGCTTCTGTACCAAGTCCCTTCTTGCCACTGAAGTATAATGCTTTCACTGATTACTTTGGTAAGACAATATGGAAGACATGTCCTGCTGCTCCATCCCTGAGAAACATACACTTCTTCATGCGCAGGTTTTGTACCTGAGGTGTGGAATCATGGGGGCAGACATGTGAGAAGCTGCAAGTCACAAAAAATTAACTGTTGCCACAAGCCTGCTTATCGCATCTCCCACGTTTGTGGGTTACTAAGAGGAGAAAGATGGATCCGTGCATTGTAGCAAGTCTTGCCCTTTAGCAAGTCTAGTGCAAGACTGGCAACACAACAGTATTTTGCTATGACGCTGCTTCAGCCCAGGAGCTGGGGAGCAGAGCCGGCCCCGAGTTCCTACACGGGTTTTATCAGACCTTGTCAGTAAGAACGGCCACGATTTCGTGTTCCGACTGCTCCCTCTACTGGCAAACACAGAACTGACAGGAGAGACAGCCTGACTCGAGCTGGGGGGAAAGAAAAAAAAAAAAACACACAAAAATACAAGCAGGCAGTGAAACGACTACACAGCTAAGGGGGAGGAGATCGAGAACGAGTCCTTGTGCACGAGGCATGAGCTTACATTTCATTAATAGTACGATGAGACATTAGTTCTGTTCATTACCAAAAGCAGCATCTAGATAGTGGCTGTATGTTACGTAGGTCTTGGAGCTACCTTCTTCGTTCATTAATTGAATGCAGCTGTCACCTAGAGAAACTAACTTTTTCTCCAGCTACTCAGGACAACAGAACAATCACAGCTGGTTTAGTCACTGGGGTTTTTGTTTACTGTTGTTTTTTAAAATGGGGCAAAGAGAGCTGTGAAGTAAGTGACACAAAAAAAGCAACGTATCTTACGCCTTCATGTGAAAGCCCTCTGTGGTATCCAAATACCTATAATAATTCCCCTGGTACAGCACTTACTGTAGGTCTTTTCCTAACAAGGCAAAGGAGCCTTACGTTTCTCAGCTTTATTTTTTTTTTTTAAACAGTAGAGGAATGGCACAACATGAAGTTCAGAATGCAAGGATCAAATATTCATAATACTCGGAATCACCAGTTCCTGAAGTACATGTCCCACAGCACAGCCACAGCCCCAATTATCCTGAGGACTCCAAGGGTGAAGAACCACAGAGCATGCAAGGCAGTGGGATACTTACCTACATCCTCAGTGAGGCTGCCTGCACGATGCAGGATCATAGCGTAAATATACTTCATTGAAAAGCAGATCTCCAAGTGTTCTGGTTTTCCTTTTTCTTGATAAGAGTTACTTGTACTGCTGGACACAAGTCCATAATAGCTTATACCACTCAAAACACTGGACATGGTAGTCCCTGCCCTTCTCTCCCTTCACACAATACCTTGGTGGCCAGACAGGGCCCTGATGTGGCTGCCAGGAGCAATCAGTATTTCCCAGAACAACGTGGTGAGCTCCCATCACGGAAGCAACAGTACTGGAGAGGCAAGAAGCAGTAGCCAGTTCGGTACAGCTTGGTGCCACTCTGGATCTGTCTCCAAAAAAGGAATCTCCTTCTGAAGGAGACTGAGTCCCTCAACAAATAACATTCACACATACATTTTGTGCAAGAGCTGTATCACTAAATGCACAAGAAACACACGCAGCATTAACAATAGACCCAGTCAGGAAGGCAGATACACTCTGCCCTTAGGTTACAGGAAGGGCTCCGTGAGCCGGATGCTGCATCCTCCCTTCCCCCTTCTCCCCCTTGTCAAATCCTGAGGAATTTTTGTTTGGCAGAA